GGCAATCTCGTACGAGATTGGCCGGGGGGAGGTTGGAGGGAAATAGAAGGGGGAGGGGTGTGGTTGCAAATTTTTTCTACCCCTTTACCAATTGCAAAATAACTCCCCAGTCACAGGAAGAAATGTATTTGTAGAGGGCCCCTTTACATGTAATAGATGTCTCACCAACTCACTATTTGAACATCAATATATAATTATACTATACAAGACTCAGTATCAGTAACTTTTATAGATATACAATATATACCTCATAACTGCAATATAATATTAGTCTAAATACCACTACAAATATATTCCAATACACCAGCTTTGAGCTTACGTTTAAAATAAATCTATTCAAATATCACCGCTCCACTAAATAACTCTAAAATAGTTCAACCGTTTTGGACAAATCAAACTTTTCATGTGTCAAAACACAAATCAATGCATTTGTTATGCCCGAGTCAATTCAACGAGTGAGTCATAAAGACCATCGCCAATGCAAATACGCAAGTTTGTTCACAAGGGGATGACACTCATCTAGATCACTCATGAATTGACTCATGCATAAATTTGGTACATGAAAAGTTCAAAACCCAAAACCAGCATTAGGCAACAGTATTAAAATATAAATACACATTTTTAAAAACTGTCAACAGTTTACAAACTATAGTTTTATAAGCAAATTGACATTTTCTACAAGCCACTGCATTTGACCATACATTAGAACCTTGATGCACAAATGCTTGGAGAATACAAGCTACATGAACAGTACAAGGAAATACTGCTTTTCAGAACACCTTTGTATGTCTCTCATATTAAGCGGTAGCCGAGAGAGTACTCAAAGGCACAGACGATGAAGGTGAAAGTCCTCCTAATTCGGACGAGTTCATCATTATGTTATCCAAAGATGACGTCGGAGACGGAATGGAAAACATCGGTGGGCACACTGGTGGCAAGATTGGCTGTAATGTGCAATCGTCATTCCGAGGAAGGTTGCTAGGCAACTGCATTGAAGCTGCCGCAACTTGGTTAAGTTTGTTCATCTCGACTTGCCAACCAGGAAGTTTTTTTGCCGTAAGATGACGTCGTGCATGTTTTGTCAGATGATCTGATCGCATGAAACGTCTTCGGCACAACGGACATTCAAATTTCTTTTCACCTGTGTGCGTTCTTCGATGACGCGTAAGCTCGTCCGATCTGGCAAATTTTCGATCGCAAGACTCCCAATTGCAAACAAAGGGTTTTTCACCTAAATAAGGATAAGATTCATAAGGATAAGATTCATAAGGATAAGATTCATCAAAACATTTCAATAAATTCTAACGTGAAAAAACTTGCTAATCTTATTTAAAATTTTAAAGTCACATGATGGGAGAGCAAAGTTGGGTATGCGCGTAATTCGCATCACATGAGCATCACTTGCTTGGGTCAAGTAGACTTTTCTCAAAAATAGGACTAAATTTAGGCATATTAACTGCATAGTTCAAGAACCTTCAAGAGTTATTTATTAGATATGTCGAAAAAATATGTGGAACAATACTGAATACATAATGAAGGTTATGTAAATCACAAGACAAAGATTGCATGTGAGAATATTAATCCAAATTTGACATAAAAAATCAATGCGCCAGGGCACGCGTTTGACAATGCCAAGGCCAATTAGGAACAAAAACAGTTCCTACTGAATCAGATTTCGATTCAAACAGGAAGAAAAATTACTTAATTAAGTAGTTTTACGCGCGTAGGATGGATTATAAATACTATAGTAATTTTATAAATAAACACCTCTTTTATAACAGAGTACAAGGTTCAATGTGGAGGTCAAGGTGCGTGACGATATCAACACTACATGCACACGTGAAAAGGAACGACAGGGGCGTGTGTCAGGCGTGAAAGTTAGAGACTTGAAAAGAAAAATCGTAAAAAAACGAGCTAAAAATTTGCAAAAAGACAAGAAAAACCTTACAAAAACCTTGGAAAACATATAAGAGGTGTCGTATGTATAGGTTTAAACCGTTTACCGCAAATTTCGGTGTTAAAAGAATATGAAATTGAAATTTATTAATAGCAGACAATGGGAAAGTCTGAAGAATGCGAAAATCTTCGCCTCGCAATCATTTATAATCCGTCGCCGCTTCAAATATGCTATTTTCCATGAAAAATATATCACGCATTCAATAGTTTTTCAATCCAAACTAGAAGAGTGTGTAACAAAATGTTAATTTCGAAAATGAACATTGTCAATTTCAGGAATTAAGGATCGAGAACATTGTCAATTTCAGAATATTAATTTACCTGTGTGAGTTCGAAGATGGGCCTTCAAATGTGAACTTTTGAAGTATGTTTTCTCGCAGTTTTCGTACGTGCACACATAGTTTCGTTTTCTGTTCGCATTACTCTCTGTCGGGGCTTTTTGTGGGCTGTTTTCAGCGAATGTAGGTGCGATATTTCGTTCCCCAATGTTTGTTGAAATCGTCGGCGTGGCGGTACTCGCGCTGCTTGTTGGCACTGCGATGGGACATATTATCATGATAGGGCCTTGGTTTCCAGTATTAGGTAAAGTCAGACGATTTCCTGCCAAAAGCTTGCTAAAATCCACCAAACTTTGGGTAGGCAATCCGAATACACCGACTGGATTCGTCATAACATTTTGACTTAGGAGAGGTGTCGATATATCAACCTATTATTAAAAATATAGATAATGAACTCAAGTTTCATAGTTTCAAAATAGCTGAAACCAAGTAATAAAAATGCGAATACTTTTTTTTTAAATTTACATATTTATCTTGTAAATTACACGGGCAAGAAACGGAAGCGAGATTTTATAGAGGGGAACATACCTCTAAACGTATTAATGCGATTTATACAGTGTTTATAAACTCAGATTTGGCAATTTATCAGAAAAATACGACTAAAGGATAAAAGCATTCGTACCTTGTCAGGGCTAAGTTGAATATTATTCGGGTGAATCGGATCTAGCAGGGAAAATAGAGGATCGTTCGTTGCCAATATGGAATGCTCGGGACTCGGAGGTGACCACTGGCTCATTGCTAGCAACGATTGAACAGCAGTAATATCTCTATCGGTTTTCGCTTGGACTTTACTTTCTTCTTGTTCGGTTACAGTTTCATTCTGTTGCGAGGAAATAGCGTTTGTTAGTACATATATATAAACGCAACACGCATCGTTCATTTTAGGGTATACAAAATTCTATATCTGACAGTGGAACACACAGTATTTCGTCTCTATTAGACAGAAATTATCAAAACTTTGCTTCAAATGTTCGTTTTACTTACTTCGCTATCCCGATTTGAGGGAGTAGGGGTCGAAGGCGGAGAGAGAGGCAGAGCGTCCATTGTCAATGAGCTTAGACGACGAAATATACAAAATTTGACAAGGCGAGCAAAAATAACACGAATCATTGTTTTGATCACGTTTTGCCATCTTTCAGATCATGCATTCGGTGGGCGGGTATGGAGGTCTGGCCAATCAGAAGCGATAATTTAAACGCTCGACCAATCAGCGTGCACGAAGTACATGTGAATAGCGCGTGAAGAGAGAACATCACACAAGATGCTAGTTACGGACTTTGATCTGCTTCGAACGCGTCGTGCACGCTATTTCCGCTTATGATCTGGCGCACGCGCACTAAGCTCATGGCCAAATATAATAACAAATGAAAGTCCGCATGAACAGATGTTTCCAACACCTGCCCTACGTTTGATAAAGCACAGTTTCAAACACGGCTTAAGAATTAAATAATTGCGTTGTTGGTCGTTTCACTTGAAGGAATTGTTAATGTTCGAAAGTGTTCCATACGTTCTTTCAATGTAGCAAAAACGTGTCACAAAAGCGCATTCAAAAATGTTGCTAAAACGTTCTAAAAAGTCGCCAAAATTAATGCGAGATCGTAGTTTAATGTTGAAAGACGAAAAGAACATTCCAAAATGTATCAAATTAACAGAAGGAATGCAAAAGTATAGGCGAGATCGCACGCGAGTATTTTATAGCTCCATTTTGTTGTGGAATATGAACTATTCAACAGAAATGTTCAGCTGTGATATGGAAAGCAACGTATAATGGTTTCTTGGCATTATATATAATCCAATTGTCGAAACCAGGCAAACTTCCAAACTTCAGAAGGCATGATTTTACAAACGAACATCCTATTCATTTTTTGGTTGTTTGTATAATTTTAATTGCTCTCAATCAATCTAGATTTTTGTGCAAAATACTGAACACAAACAGTACTATGCCCCTTGTTATAAAGTTATAAACATATATAACAATAACATTGTGTATTACTATTCCCCATATCCATATGCCACTTAGAACAGCAATATTGAAATGCTTTTCTCTGTTAAAGCTACAAAACGATGCACGAATATTTGCGATCGTACGTTGGCTCATCAACAACAAAGCATTGTACCGTAACAACAAGTGAGAAATGGAAGGATATGCATTATAAATATTTGGACCTTTGCCGAGTAATAAACGCGCTCAAATATACGCGATTAAGATGTGTTTTACTACAATCTTACAAATTATATAACTGGTAGATCTTGTACTAAGTCAAATGAACGATTACAACAACACAGATTCCCCACAAATAGAAGCAAAACACGCGAAATAACACGTGTCACTGAACGCCAAGCTAGGTTGTAGTACTTTTACAAGAGTGAAATTCGAAGCGATTGCCACCACACGGCTGGGTGCTATTTCGATGTTTTTCTATGCTAAATTCCTTCAAAATAGTTGTTAATTCCCCACTCACCTTAAAGAGAAAACAAATCGCTGTGTTTTACGCGCTAAAATCTGATGCAATCTATAAACAACAAAACAACAGTTGGAATCCAAAATGGTGGGCGAAGCAACGTGAAGGGATTTATTTCCGGTCGGGTAGTCACACCCTTCCCGTGCCCAAGCCGTGCCCAGTGCCCATCCCCTGACCGCGTAAATAAAATACCTCCTCCGCAGGCCCTTTACCGGGCAAATTTGGGGAGGAGGAGCTACCATAAAGGCAATTGCTAGATAGTATACTTCAAAATAAGGTTTCCGTTTTTATATCAATTTTTAAAATAATTAAAATAAGTTAGGGTTAGGTTAGGGTTTAGGTTAGGGTTAGGTTAGGGTTAGGGACTCAGTGATGTTTTCCAGGGGGAACGCGGGGGAACGCCGTCCCCCCACCTTTTTTTACCAGGGGAACGGCGTTCCCCTTGCCAAAATCAAACATGGGGGCACGCCGTTCCCCCTGGCAGGGATTAAATATTAGCGAAGTTCAGTGAACGCCGTTCGACACCGTCCAAATAATTTTGGCTATCACTTGTTCTACATACGTGTTATTTGCCGAAATTTCTAGCAGACTAGTACAAAATAATAGTCTAGAGTCTTATGATTGACGTCCACTTAGATAGTTCACAATCAATTGTCATCAGCACGGAGATAACGTCAGGCAGCAGCCCAGCGGGATATAATTTGAATTACCTTATGCATGGAGTTAGCAGAACATGATACCTGAAAAACACGTAGCTTGCGCGGTAGATGTCAAAAAGCAAATAAAACCACGTTAACTTTCCAATTTCGATGATGCATTAGTGCTATGTGAGTCAACCAACTCGGCAAATAGGCAACTTTGCAAGTTAAATATGACGTTTTCACGAGTAACTAAATAAGCTTGGATAATAGATATCCTTGAATCTTTCCCATTCATGTTAATGTTCTTATTGAATCATTTTATGTTCCCATTGATGATTTTAATGTTTAATTTCGCGAATGCGTGAAAGACTATACTAATTTATAAAAATCAAGCCTAAGCCAGAAATTGTAAAATAGGTTGTTGAGCATTGTAGTTAATAAGAGATATGATTTCTAAAAGATCTAAAATCGTTGAATTCTTTACTGAAAAATCTGTGGAAGACATAATTTCAGAAGTTGAAACCAGGGGCGGATCTAGGGGTGATCAGAGCGATCACGCGACTAAGGTAAAAATTGGCCAAAAAAATGGAAAATTGTTAAATTAAAATAGCAGTCCAGTTATCAAACTTCGCGCAGTGTAATGTATTGAAAGTTTAACAGTCCAGTTTTGAAACATCATTCAGTAGCAAGGCCTTCGAACATGAACGCGCAGAAAAGCGGTCTTACCCATTAGTTTTGCACGCTCTGAGTCAGATTCCAGCCATCTGATTGGCTATCTCAATTTTTGCGCGATCTGTGGGGAGTTCTGATCGCTAAAGCGATCAGGGGCTCGAATACAGGCTATCTGATTGGCTAATTCAAAACAATCCTGAATTCCCATTGGCTGGATTTTTTTGATCGATCATACCATTCAGGCTTCATTAGTGCACGGAATGGTCTATGACGTTTCTGGCCCTTTCTGATCACTACTTTGTGCTTGACCGCAAATTATTAAAGTTCAATGGGAAGATTTACTATCAGAAATTCTGAACTAATACCAGCCATGTCTGTTAGTATTTGCGAAACTGTAAAGGCTGCTTTAGAGAATGACGATCGACTAAATGTCAAAGATATTAAAGCTGATTTAAACAAGCGATAACGGTGTACCGAAGATTTATTGAGCGTTGTGAATAACATAAGCAGCCTTCCTCGCACGAAATTTTGGTGCGGAATCTTACATCCTGAAGTACGTTCGAGAGAAGACAAAAATCTTTTGTACGGCCTTAACTTAAGATATATATATTCTATTTTAACTAGATATAGCATTATAACTGTTGTATACTGTGGTGGATTGTGCGTCTGTACGCACATGCATGCTATAATATCGGCGGGTACGCGTATAAGACGTATAATAATACGAGACGAAATTTACATAATATTTCCGTCAATTTATATAAATATTGCGGCTTAATACAGGCAGTTTCAGTGTGTTTATACTTTGTTTATGCTTCTTGTGGCATGTAGACTTTATATATTAATCAGATCGCTACTTAATAACACCGTTTATACCTATTTAATATTTTAAACTACAAGAACACGACAATGTAGCATGGCCTTGTGTAATACGATCTCTACAACATGTACACAACAAGTAAAATGGATCATGTTGCCATTGTGAATACTTATTTATGGCGCATGTTTCTGCTACGAATGAAACTCGAGGAGCAGTGAATTAAACGTGGAAATTCTCTTCCTGCTTAACAATCAATCAAATGTTTTAAACTGCATCACTATATTGCTTTTTTTTTTTACCATCCCGGTCAAAGGAAAAAATATGCGATTAAATAACAATTTTTAAAACGTCAAGTCACCTTGTCAATCTATTTCTCGATGAGAATTGGATATCTGTTTCACATTCGGCGAAAAAGCAATTTTTTAAGTTACATTTTTTCGTAAACAGAACACATATAAAAATATTAATTTGCTTGGCAACCCACCCCCGACCCCCCGTCAAAAGTACCCCCTCCCCCAATGTTCAGAAACGAAATTTTTGACTAACGTACGAAAAATCCTAGATCCGCCCCTG